TATAGCCCATACCATTTTAGTTCAATGAAGTGTAACTTTCAAACGGCTAAAAAATTCCGTTGATTTTGGAGAATTTTTATTTTTTTTTAGGGATTTTTGCCCAAGGCGTTGTCCTATGAAAAGTGCGGCATTCAATTTTGCATTACCAGTAATGCAAGAATGAATGTGATTTAATATGAAATTTTTGCGACTTTTTGGATTCATTATAATGCTGATTACATATTAAACTGTAAAAGAATCTAAGACTCATAAGAAATGCATTACATTATTTATCACGCATATAATGCATTACTAGTTTTCCGACTGGGTCATTGAGTTCGTTCATTTCGCCAATCGCTAACTGTTGGCGAGCCGATAACGGCTATTAATAGGTGGAGCGATATCTTTTCTGTTAAGTAATTTTATAATCCATAGGAACAGGTAGGGAAGGATAGATTTGAATGGGATTTCGTTAGCGTATTAATAAATACATTTTATGATTTTTAATAATTATTATTGAGTTTTATTTTTCCACTAAAAATATTGATTGTCTAAAAATCATTTAATGCCTAGTGGAAATTCGGCATAAGATAAAAAGTAAATATTTTTAATGTTGGGTTAACATTTTCTCTCTATTTTCAGATTTTTAAAGCAAGTGGCTCGTATTTTGTACTTATTCGAGATATTGCAGATGCTGACGCCTAAGTACAGAATTAAATAAAATATAAGAAGACAAATTAAAATAAAAAACAAATTAAATTAAATTGCACTAAGCCAATAAATGACAGACTAATTAAATTAAACTAAATTTTACTAATTAAAATAATAAATTTAACTATTTAAAAAAAAGGATATGAATGTGAGTACATAAACGCAAGAAAAAATTTTATTACTAGTATAATTTAGATTTTCTCGTATTTATAGTTATTTAGGTATTGTATAATTTAGTTATATGGCTATTGTTTTATTAGAGAAGAGCATTCTACACCCTTAAAATAGATAAAAATTTCAAAATCGTCTTTTATTAAGAAAGTATTTGAAGAGAAGCAAACAAGTACATATATGGGGCGTTCCACACCAAAATGGACGGGGTTCAAACTTCATGTGTTTGATTTGTTTAAAATTTTTAGGGTTGAAGGACAAACATAAATAATAAATAAATATGAAATCTGAGCTTGAGTAATACATGTTTAAAAACTTTACAGCACAAAAACAAAAACAAATCGATTTAATAATTTTCCAAATATCTCGAGAGCGGGGCGAGGAAAAATTTGAAAAAAAAAATCACACATACACCATTAAAATTCTCTATGAAAACAAATATTTTTTTAATTTCTTGAAAAATTTTTCACATAAGAATTCTTTATTTAAAATATGCCATCTCTAAGAAAATTTGAGAAAAATCAAAATGGTGGCTCATAGTATTGCGCAATACTTAAGTATAGTATTACGGGGTGCACTCTACAATAATTTGAGTTATGTTTTTTTCACATCGAAGTTGAGTAAAATGAGTACATTTCAAATTTAAAAATTTTTAATTTTTTTTTAGAATTTTTTTGAGTTGCAGTTTTGTAGCCCATGAAGTTCTAGCACAATAAAGTGCAAGTTTTAAGTGATCGCAAAATTGGCATTAATTTTATATTTTTTAAAACGGTCTTGCGCATTTTCTTCCATAAGAAAAAGTGCAAAAAGCCGTCAGCATAAAAAATATTAAAAATCAACACTGCAGGCTTTTAAGTGCTAAAAAGACAGTTTTTGACATATTTGAGGTTATGTTGCATAGAAAATACATTTCTTTAACATTAAACTAGTCAAAGTATCTTAACAAATAAATCTTGCCCACATATCTTCAGGATTTTTGGGAAGTTCAGTCATCTGGTAGGCTGAACATATTCTCCTCATCAAGCTTATTAATTGCAAGATGAAATCTCTAAAAATATAAATTTTTGCTTACGTCGTTATATCATTAAAGGGGCGATATGTATAAATACTAAAATTTTTAAATGCGATATCTGGCGAAAAAAAAATGTTGGCAAACAAAATGGCAGTGGAAAGGCAAAATTTGTTTCTTAAGACATGTCATGCCGATATTCACTATAGTTTAGAAGGAATTAATTTTGTACTTCAATAGCATCATATCGAATCCAAAAAATACAAATATTGAGCAGAAATTACCGCTACCTCTTCTTCTATGTTGTGTCAGGATTTCGACGCTGAATCGATTACCAGTATCTCACTATTTAGAACAGAATAAGTATTAATTTTTACTAAGCGAGTATATGTAACTTCAGAACTTTAAAGCCGTCTTTTCGAGTGTTGCTTTTTTGAGTTGTGATACTATTAAATTAAATGAGCAATAAATATGTACATCTAAGAGTTTTTTCCCAAATATCTATGCCAATTTAAGCATTATAAGTTAAGTACTTTACAATTACATATTTCGGGTATTCACAAGGCGTCGTAAACGTCGCAATGTCTTAAAGTCGTAAATTTTTTTATGAAAAAAAAAACGGTTGCAACGGTTTAAAGGGATTCTGAGGGTATAATAAAAGCTTCTGTATACACTTCATCGGCTTAGCAACATTTTGGGGTGATTAAAAATGCTCTAAAACTATTTTAACCGTTATTTTACATTGAAAATGTTTATGACTTTAAGACATTACTACGCTTACGATATCTTGTGAATACCCTAATTGTTCTTCAAAAATCCGTGCCTTAGCGAAATTTTCGTGGTATAATTGACGTGGCCTTGCTCATATCGAAAAAAAAAACTGACAACCTATAAATATAATTGTTGTAATTACCTACGATATTAAAAAAATTATTTATATGACTATCATTTCAACTACAAATAAAAATACGATTATAAATAACCTACAAGTAATTGCTAGACTCCACCTAATACAAATTCTTAAGATCTTAAAACTTTATAACAGGTTAAACATATTTTTTTATAATTATTTTGTTTCAATCACTGTGACATTTAAAAGACGAGAGATATCGATCACTTCAATAGCGCCGCCTTTGGTCCCCAGTATTCACAGTTTTCCTTCTGTTTATTTTATAATCATTAATTTTTTATAAAGATAAAATATTTTATAACAAAAGTAATTGAACAAATTTTTATAAAATTTCAAACTTTTTTTGCAGAGGTTCCCGTTATTTACGTTACATAAAGAGCGTGCGTAATTTTAGTCCGATTTCAATAATTTTCAACGTTTTTATGTGGCAAGCACAATAATCGTGCCAAGTTTGGTACAAATTGATCGAAGGGTTACCGAGATACACATATGTGATTATAAGTGGGCGCTGCCACGCCTATTTTCCTAAATTTTACCATAAATATATTTTTTGCGAAAGAGTTATTTCATCAATTTTTTACAAATTAGCTTCCGTATTTACTGATTCATCGAAGTATTCGCATTTCTCTAAATTACCGTTATATAGGAGGTAGGCGTGGTTATTGTCCGATTTTCCTCATTTTCAAAACCATCCGTCCTACGCCCTAAAGAAGTGCACGTACGAAGTTTCGTTAAGATTTCTCAATTTTTAATCGAGTTATCGTGTGTACAGACGGACGGACGGACGAATGGACGGAAGGACAGACAGTCACCGCTTAATCGATTTCTCTTTTCATTCTGACCATTTATGAATACATTTGGCTATATCTATCTCGATTCGTTTGCCTGTTACAAACAACCGTTATGTCAACAAAGTGCACAAATGCGCTCGGGTATAAAAAATAAAAGTATTCAAAACATCTCTGGGTTTTCACATATTTACGTACTAGTCGTTCGAAAACTATTGTGTAAATTTTAACCGTATATGTATGGAAGAAAATGAGGAACACATTCGCAGAAAAAAATTCTCAAAAACTAACGGTAGTTTTTAGCCCCTTGAAAGGTGCTCTTTCTTATACTGAGACTGAACAGCATATAAAATTGTGTACTCAAAACAAAAAATTTAAATATTTTTAACAGCTTGAAATTTTGATGCAAACCAAGGTACATTGAACAGGTAGTATCAGTAGAGCAGCTGATTTGATTTATTTTCAAATTATTTGGTCTCGAAAATGTCAAATATTTTTAATTTTTTCTCACAAAAATTCTGAATTTTTAAAATCCATTTGCATGTGAAACCTTTTTCCATACAAAACAAGCGATTGAATAGCAGCTTTTAGAACGTTCGCCCAACTCAGCAGCACAACCGCTGATTACTGGCCCTTGTAAAGGATGGATCAATGCTTCGAGAAGCAAACAAATTTACTAGGAAAGAAAGTTGCATCAATTTTTATTTTTTCCAATTTCAATTTTTTATTTTTTATAATTTTTTGTATTTCACATGGCACGCTTTGATTTGGAAGAAAAAATTCAGAACAGTTTTTGACACTTTCGATACCAGAAGCAACAACAAAATACACGCAAATGTTGTTTTTGCTCTACTGATACTACCTGTTTAATGTGCCTTGATGCAAACTTGTTAAATTATTACAAATTTTTTATACAATGTGAAAATCGGAATTGCTGGCTTTACTTTTATAAAAAATTTATGGATAACTATTAAATAAACCATAGGAAATCTGTTAAAACTGATAATCCAAAGAAGACGCTATTCAAGTGGCCGGCCCTGTATGCGCATCAAATATTAGCCGTACTTAGATGCATATGTACTATTGTTCATAATTATGTATGCACATATATTAGTATAATGAAAGTTTGCAATAAACAAAAGTTAAATAAATGTAGTTTTCGCTCTTTCGCCTACAATTTCTATGCATGTCTTCTGCAGTTAATAATTTACCTTTTTTAATTTTTGCAATACCATGAACAAATTTAATAAGAAATCAATATTCTCAAGCATTTAAATTATTTACTCATAAATATATAATAATAAGTACCTACAGCGTTGAAAATAACAAAACGGAAAGAAAAATTAAAACAAGCCGCAGTTGAACCTACGTTTCCAAATTACGCACATCGACTATTTAGAACTGGAAAAATAAGTAAAATCATCGAAGAGCAATGTACAGTGTTGAAGAATATAAGGCATTGAAAACTCGCAACCGCTATAGATTAAGAGAGTTAATAAGGACTTCATATGTAATAGGCATAAATCTACACGAGCAAACAACCCTAAGAGGGCTGAGAATGTAAGTTAACATCCTAATTAAATCAAAAAAAAAAATAAAAAATTTGTTAAAAAAATAATTTTTTTTCCAATCCATGAAAGGGTTAGGGCTTTTCTGTAATAAAAAATAAGCTTAGCTAAAAGGGATTTAAAATTTTAAAAAAATTAAAAAAAACTGGGATATTAGTGGAATTCATGGATCATGATTCATTTGTTCCAAATTGTCTAACTTGCAACAACACATCTGATTAATTTTGTATGAAAACTTTCTTGCGACACTGTCATATTCGAATTCGAAATTTGCAATCTGGAGTTACTATAGGTTGCTCATAAAATTTTGTTCGCAACGTTGCCATTTCGCCAAAAATCCCACTTTGCTACATTTCATAAATCGCACCATTATGTATATTTCATACCATTGTAATTATAAAGAAAATTTTACTCGTAAATCTTTCCTAATGATCAAATTGCTTGTTTTTTTAGAACTTTTCGTAAAATACTTTGATGAAAAATGACAACGTCCATATTTTTTATGTGTAAAATTTGCGTTAATCCAGGGGAAAATTGGAAATTTTTCATTAACAACAGCCTGTGTTGTATTTAGTATTTGTTAAGAGAATTCCACAACGCAAAATAACCATACACAACTTTTCGTTGCATAGTTTTAGGCATATGCACCACAGTATTGTATTGACAAAAAAGCAAGAGGGGAATTTATAATACGCTGCAATTTTTTCCTCTTGGGTTTTTGACGCTACATGGGAAAAATTTTCATAAACCGTCACGCGTAAACCAAGACGAATTCAGAAAATCCTAAAAGATGAAAGCAAATCTAAACGGATGTTCTAGAAACACTGTTCTTTTGGCATATTTCGGCCCATTTCGGGGCATATTTCGGGGCTATTTCGGTACCAGTTCGTGACTACATCATTTCGATACAAGATCGATACTAGTTTAGGATTCTTATGGTTTCAATTCGGGACCAGTGTACGAAAATAAACTATATTGTACGTTACTATTTCGTTTCGTTTATTACTTTAACAGTTCGGTACAATACGAAACAAAACGGCTGAGTTCACTTTGGCGATAGTACACTACAGTAGTTTAGTAGTTACAGACGAAACAACAAACGAAATGAATCGTGCAGGGAAAATATTTTTATGTATGTACATATATGCAATAAACAAATACAAAACGAATGGCTGCAATGAATAAAAAAAATAAAAATGTTTTTTAATTGAATTGGATATGAAAATTTACAGAAAAAATTATTTTTCACGTAATTGAAACGTTTGCATACATATAAAACTTACCCTATGGTACAATTGTCACAAACGTTTCTCGTTGGGGAAAATGACAGTGAATCTTACAATTTCTTTCTGACTATTTACAAAACTGTACAAAACCACAAATGATATGATGATCGATGAGCAAATGGGAATTGTTTTGTACAGTTTATTTGCGTACCCTGTTCGGGACCATTGGATGTGTGTAATTTTTCTATTGTCTATAACTAAAAAATTGTTGTGCATACGAAAACAAGAAAACATTTCTACAAATAAAAACCTGTTATTCTTTTCAGCATTACTGTTTTACTCCTAACTTTATGTTGCATTGGCTTATATCCTCGCTTTTTGATGTTACAACATGCCGATGGTGATGTACCGCTCATGGCCGAGGTATGTATGTATGTGAGACATTCTTTTTCATAAGTATCGGACACCAAATTTGGTGTCACACTTTCGATTGGCTCCAATTTTTTTTTATGGGTTCTATACATGAAATAAGCTAACACGTGTTCGATGAATTTTTTTTAGCTTTCTTCTTTGGAGATATGATCTGTCAAAGTTTGCATTTTTCGTGATTCTGACTAATCATGTACTTCTTCAAATCGTTATATCTCGGGTTCTACCCATCATAGAGACTTCATCTTAACGTCGTTTTAAAGCTAAAGAAACGGGATTAATATTTAAATATATAAGATGGCCAAGATTGACCTAAAGCTAACTTAGCTATTAACAGTTGAACTTTTTCAAGTTGATTGCGTAGTGAAGACCAGTAATTTATAGATTTAAAATTATACCATCGTATCCATGTTTAATTCTCTATAAGAAACGTGGTTCAAAAAAATTAATTTAAATTTTTTAAATATTTTTCTTTATGACAAGATGGTTTATTTTGTGAGAATCAACAAATTTTTGTAATTTGTTTTCGAAAACTTATGTTGAGATATATTTGGTAAGGTATTAAACATCGACTTTTTGCAAGAAATTAAATTTTATTGCAGATTCCGATAGAATACCTTATATCGGTATTCTATTTGTACGGCAAGATTTTTCTTTAAGGCGAAAAACCCCTAGAGATGGGCGTGGCAATTGTACGACTGAAGTTTGACAAACGCAGATTTTATTGCGGATTTCGGCAGAATATCGCTTCGTTAACAACATTTGTTCCACAACTTTTTCATGTAAGATAGATATTTTGTTAAGTATTTGACCAAGATTCCACTCCAAATTGTTGTGTCCAAATCGTAGCACATGCATTTTCGAATAGCAGCAACTTTTATAATAGGGGGATTCATGAAATGTCGCAGCGATTTTTTTGCTATACGGGCCACTGTTTTGTAAAATATGGTTGATTCAACGACCAAGGCCCCAAAAATTGGAGCTCCAAAAAAAAAAAATTATTGAAAATTTTGCCAATTTTCATAAAAAATATTACACTTTTTAATTACACTACTTAGAAATAAAACTGAGTATGCAGTTTTTTAGCCCGTTCAATTTTAGTATAACAATGTGTAAGTCTGAGGTATGTCCTTCATTTTCTCCATATATAAAAAAAAGTCGGACATTTTGGTGCCAATCAAACTTTCCGTTTCTCATGAAATGTTTATATTTAATTCTAAAAGTATTTTGTATAAAAAATTGATTAAGCAACCTAAGAATATTTCAAATTTAAATTAGCTGACAATAGTATAGTTATTACAAGCTTCAATTTTCATGACAAGAATCGTTTTTTTAAAGAGTCACCAATATATTTGTCGGTTTCAGAGGGATTCAGTGGCTCGTTTCAAGGTTATTGAGCACCCTGTATTGATTACTGTAGAGGATTGAAAGTTGGCATAGATATTAAAAATGCCAAAAGAACAAACATAGGAGGTGACCAGTTTTCTACGATGACATCTTTTTCCACGTACAAAACTCAAACCACACTAATGTATGTACATTAGGGTGGCCCATAATGCATGTTTTTTATAGTCGAAATAAAAAAAAATATTTAGAGGTCGCTCAAAGCGCTCAAAGTTCTCCAGATATTTTATTCAGGAAAAAACTCATTTTTCGTGGAAATGGTAAAGAATTCTCGAAAATGAATATTTTTCGATGGAAGAACCCTGTTTCTCTTTAGGAGACCTCCAGCAATAACACCCAATTGTTTGTTTTATCATTTTTATGGTTCCCCCCCGTGGCATTTTTTGGTGTTTTAGGAGACCTTTAAAAATATTTAGTATCCAACAATGTTTAAATAAACCATTGGGTATTATAGTTGAAAGTCTCCTGAAGAGAAACCAAGTTTTGCTACAAAAAATATGGATTTTCAAGAATTCTATACCATTTATATGAAAAATTGTTTTTTCCCATATAAAATATATAGAAAACTTTGAGGGCCAATAAGCGACCTAAAAAAATGTTGGATTTCAAAATACAAGAATTTTTTTTTTTTTTTACCACCCTAATGTGCATCCTACTACATCTATTCCGTTGCATTTTAATGACGCGAATATTTTTTAATGCCAAACTATGTCATTAAAATTTTATGCCAAGTGGAAATCCGGCATTAGTTCAAGACTTCTCCGTCTTGCCTATGCGAAGTTTCGCCGTTCACTTGTAATGCGCCATCATTAATCTCCATTTTAACTGCAAAAAGATTAATTTCAACTATTTTAAGCGCAGCAGCTTTATTGTTAATTAACTGTTAAGTTCCATACTGTGTACTATGTATATGGGGCATTCCATACTAAAATGGGAGGGGCTTCACACTTCATGTATTTGATTTGTTCCAAATTTTAAGGTTGATGGATAAACATAAATAATAAATACATATGAAATTTGTGCTTCATTAATACATTTTTAAAAGCTTTACAGCACAAAACCCCAACAAATCGATTTAATAGTTTTCCAAAAAATTTTCTTTTCACATACAAGTTTTTTGATAAAAAAAAATAAGTTTTTGAAAATATGCCATCTCAAAAAAAATTTAAAAATATCACAATGGTAGCTCTGAATATAGCGCAATATTTAAGTATAGTATTATTAAAATATGAGTTATGATTTTTTTTTACACCGAAGAGTAAAATGACTACATTACGAATTTACACATTTTTTTATAATTATTTTGAGTATGCAGTTATGTAGCTCATTAAATTTTCATCCAATTTTGCAGTAGCTTAAAACTTGCACTTTATTATACTAAAATTTAATGAGCTACAAAACTGCATACCCAAAAAAATTCTAAAAAAAATTTAAAAAATTTTTAAATTCGTAATGTACTTTTTTTTTACTCACCTTCGGTGTACAAAAATCATAACTCAAATTATTGTACAGGGCACCCCATTATACCATCCTTAAATATTGCGCAATACTCAGAGCTACCACTGTGATTTTTTTTTGAGATGGCATATTTTTAAAAACTAATTTTTTTGTATCAAAAAATATAGAGAATTTTGATGTGTGTATGTGTGATTTTTTTTCAAATTTTTTCCTTGGCCCGTTCTTGTACCAAAAAATTTGTATGTGAAAAATGTTTCAAGAAAAAAAAAATTGAAAACATTTCTTTTCATAGAGGGTTTTGATGTGTGTATGTGTGATTTTTTTTTAATTTTTTGTTTTTGTGCTGTAAAGTTTTTAAAAATGTATTAATCCAAGCTCAAATTTCAAACACATGGAGGGTGAATCCCATCCAAATTGGTATGGACCACCCCATACATACATACATATATATATATTAGTTCGAGTGACTCATTTACGCACCACGTTTCCGTTGCAGGCAGTTACAACCGCACTACAAACAACAACAACTATGGTAAAAATGACATACTATTTTTTTATGCAGCATAAATTTCACGCTTTGATTGACAAAGTTGAAACTCATGAACTTCTACAACGCATCGAAATATTTATGACAGGTCAGTAAAAGTCAAATTTTCACATTGTATGCATTATATAAATATGTAGGTTTTTATGATTGTATGTATATTTGTACGTTGTTGTAATTTCAACCAGATATGCCCATTAAAATGCAGTTGAAACAAGAAATCGATACAATTATGGATACTATATGGATGGAATCGAGGCGACAACTTTTGAGCTGTCTCATAACCTGTTCATGCATACTTAGCAACTACTTTTTCTATGCGGTCTTCACAAATTTATACCATCAAATAAAGGCCACGCCGGACTACGTTTATATTTTGCGTAAATGATTTTCTTTTTCTTCTTTTGGGTATAGTTATAATATTTCTATTAATACATGTTTTTTTTTAATTAAATAGCATTCACTGGTTATCCTATGTTTCTCGACAAAGGTATGCCATCCTTTTATTATGCCTTTGAAATGCTCGCCGGCGGCAGTTCACTTTTATCATCAGGCATGTGTAAGTAGTGAGATTTTGCATTTGATGCTCGTCTCTTTACTGCAAAACAAAAAAAAAAATAAATAAATTAAAATTACTTTTCAGGTTCTGTTAGTTTCCACTGCATTTTTATGATATTTTGCAAGCATGCCTGTGGACTTGTGCAGGTGTTAAAAATGCTACTACTCAGATCAAACTCACCGTTGGTGCCGAAACATCGACGCGATGAATATTTGCGTTATTGTGTAATTCAACATCAACGGATACTTGAGTAAGTCCGGTTTTCTTTGCAAAATTTGTATATATATTTATGTATATTTATAAATTTATATATATGTATGTATATCTACACCCCTTCTATGTTTCCTCAGGTACATTGACGAAATCAACGAGCTTTTCAAACACATCTCTCTTTCCCATTTTCTTCATACTTTGGCGATTTATGGTTTTGTACTCTTCGAAATGAATTTTGGTTTGGTAATTCTAAAAACATAAATATCTCCTTTTATATGTTTAATAATTTTTTTTTTTTAGGAAACAAATAAGGTTATACTTATCCGCATGATTATGTATATTGGCGCTGCTCTTACCGTAGATTCTATGTATTATGTCAATGGTCAATTCTTAGCCACAGAGGTACGTATATATTTAATTAGCTAAGGACTGTATTTCTTGCAATTTTTTGCATTAAACTTCATAAAATTTCTTTTTGGCACAATAATGTGGCTGAGAAGACGTGAAAATCTATAGTTAACTTACAAATAGTAAATTACGATGTCATTGCTCCTTATTTGTACATTGATAGCGAATTTTGGTTTCAAAGTTTTTTCTTTCATCATTTGGTATTAATCTAAAAAATTAAATTAGAAAACTAAAACAAGAATTGTTGGAAAAAAATTAACAATACTTGACAGTTTAGAGACCAAATAATTTGAAAAAAAAAATCGAGATCCGCCATATTGGGTCCAATAAAGATCCACCCGCCATAATGGATCCACCACTTTGATTTCATTGATGCCAAAAAGTGCAATATTGTCGGACGGTGTAACTTATTAATAAAACACGGAATTTCGGAACTCTTGTATATACAGGTTGGGGCAAATAAGACCTCCCATCCATAGTTCATAGGTCCATAGTTTGCTTAGCAGTGTGCGCAGTCGCTCCACCTTGTTGGAACCATAAATTAGGATGCCGCTCTGCCTTTGGCCACAAAATGATGTCAATCATTGTTCTGTAAGAAGCCCCAGAAATCGTATCGTTTCTGGCGTTTCATACTCATTATCGAAAAAGTATGGGCCGAAAACTTTTTGGCCATAACACCACACCAAACTGTTAGCCTCCCAAATGGAGATATGGGCCTTCGAAGTTCGAAATAGGAACTTTGGTAAAAAATTATATTAAATTATTGCATATAAATAACTAAAAACCTTAAAATATAGACGTAGTCCTCCTTTTGCTCTTATTTAAACGGTATATAACTTTTTTTGTGCAAACTTATATTACAGGTGCTATAAGAGATCAAAGTTCAAGTCTTCGAAAAATTTAATTCCTTTTAGTGCAAACAATTTTGAACTGCTTTTTAAGAGATTTTCATCGTTGTAAAGGTGATTAAACATCCTTTCTTTCGATATGCATATTTGTATACTTTGTAAATAAAAATTTGGGAAAAAACACATTTAAAGGAAAAAATACATTTAAAAAAAAAAAATATTTTAAGCAAAAAAAATACTAACCGATTTTTAAAAAATTGGTATCGTTGTAAGGCGCTTAAGTCCCCTTTCTTCCGATAAGCATATCTGTATACCTCCTATATAAAAATAAAAAAAACACATTTAAATAAAAAAATACCTGTTTTTTAGAAAAAAAATATTTTAAACAAAAAAATGCCAATCGATTTTAAAAAAATTGATATCGCTGTAAAGCCGATTCGACCCCTTTCTTTTCAAATGCATATTTGTATACTTCGTATATAAAAATTTGAGAAAAACCACATTTAAAGAAAAAAATAGTTTAAACAAAAAAATTACCAACGGATATTTAAACAATTGGTACCGTTGTAAAGGCGATTAAAACCCCTCTCTTCTTCCCCATATAAAGCTTTGGGCGATTTGAGTGACCTCTAAATATTTTTTGATTTCAAAATAAAACAAGTAAGAAAGTCTAAGTTCGGGCGGAAGTATTAAATATATGTTTTTCACCTTTAATATTTACTGGTTTATGGAAGATCTCGTATTTCCCTAAATTACCATTATATGCGATGGGGCGTGGTTATTGTCCGATTTTAAAAATTTTCGGCCTGATCATTTATGTATACATTTGTCTGTATCTATCTTGATTCCGTTTGCCTTTTACAAACAGCCATTAAGTGAACAGAGTTATAATACCCTTGTGCACAAGTGCGCTCGGGTATAAAAAAAGAGGGTATATGTTTTTCGGTATAGAACAATCCTAGGGGGTGAGAGCATAAAAATTCCGACTTTACTTTTTCACATGCATTTTTAGACCACCCTAATATACGCAATTTAGTGGGAACGATAATTATCCTTACGTCCGGTTTCACCATTCAATTTCAAAATCTATATCGCTAACAAAATTGTGCTATTTTAAATTTTATTTTTTAAAATTGGTTGGTGAAACCGGGTATTCGACATAATTAAATATGTAATTTATTTACAGCTCGAAAGCATACCCTCAGCTTGCTACGACTGTGAGTGGTACAACGAGTCGAAGGACTTCAAGAAGACTGTGCAAATGATAATAATGCGTTCCAATAAGGAGTTTTGTTTCCAGATATCTTGGTTCGGAGTTATGTCTTTAACCACACTATTGGGTGTATGTTGAAAATATTTACATACATATTTAAATAAATAAACTCTGGTAATCTCTAAACTTTTCTTACAATTCCAGATTTTAAAAGCTAGTTTCTCATATTTCTTAATACTTCGAGATCTGACAACAGAAGAAGATTAAGCGATGGAGTTGTAGAACGAAGAACGTGGAGTGTAGTGATTGCAACAACAACAAGCTTTAGAAGTTACGCAAACGATTATTTATCTACATACATAGCTGCCTATCTTCAGATGTAAAATTTAGAGCGTTTTAATAAAATAGATTTTAAAAATAATTGAAATAAATTCGATGTGAAGATGTTTTTCAGTTTTTAACCTTCTTATAGGGCACCACTTCTCGGTTTACATACGTCGAGACCAAAAACCTCGCCGATTTCCCCTCTCTTTTGGTAAGTTACGCCAGTTGGTAACACCATATGTAGAAAGTTCAATAAGGTCCTCAACCTGTCCATGACCACTGTCGTCAGTTATGATTTGTGCAAATCAGGGTCATTGGTACCATTACTTAAGCCATTGGAACCTGCCTACAAAGGAGAGTCTAATCGACCGAAAACTCTTTTTTTCCCCACTAGTTAACTTGCTACTTCCGTACTGGACATGCAAGCTGACCCCAAAACTAAGCATCAGCGTGGCTTCCGCAATGTGTAACTTGTAACCTTAACCGAGAGATAGCCATCCTAGTAGCGCTGGACTTATTGAAGCCTTTCTATATCGTTTGTTACACCACGATGCTGGAAAACATGTTCGAGATAAAACATCGATATTCTGAATAATTAAGCAAGTGGTCTCACAGGTCAGTGTCCTATCCCCGCTTCGATCTAATTTTAACATATCGAAGCGTCACCAGCCACCAAAGAGAGTTATCCTGACCTTTTATTCCGACGATTGCTCGATGTTGGTGGCTGGAAAGAAAAATGGATGATATGGATCGCTTCTTCATCACAATGAGTTTAGACCCTCTGCCTCACGAACACTCGGCGTCATCCTTAGCACGGGACGAATGGGGTGAGCTGCAGCTAACACTGGCATACCAGTTCCGAAGCAAAACGAAAAATTTCGGGTTTACTTTTGACTGCCTTTTCTCTCTCTCTCTCTCTCCTCTTCGTCTTCGAAAAATTAAAAACCATATATTTCAAACAATTTTGAACTGATTTTTATTGGTGTCGTTGTAAACGTGATTAAACCCCTTTTCTTTCGATATGCATATTTATTTGTTTACTTCGTATGTAAAAATTTGAGAAAAAACATTTGAAAGGAAAAAATACCTTTTTTTACAAAAAGAAATATTCTAAACCAAAACAACAACTACTAACCAATTTTTAAAAAATTGATATCGTTGTAAACGCAATACCTCCTTTCTTCTGATAGGCGTATTTATATACTACGTATATGAAAATTTGAGAAAAAAACACTTAAAACGAAAAAATACCTTTTTTTTATAAAAAAAAAATAATTTAAACAAAAAAATTACATACCGATTTTTAAAAAATTCGAATCGTTATAAAGGCGATTAAACCCCCTTACTTTTGGTATGCATATTTGAGAAAAAACACTTAAAATCAAAAAATATCTTTTTTGACATAAAATATTTTAAACAAAAAAAATTACAAACCGATTTTTTAAAAATTGGTACCGTTGTAAAGGATACCAGAAAACTTATACTTTCCTAAAGCCAAAAATTTCTATTAACATACACAAAAAAAAGTTAATTAAAAACATTTTTTCAAGCTATATAAACTCCTGCGCCCTTGTATACAAAAGAATTAAAGTACTTAACGCATACATGGTTCCATAATAATGATTCCAATATCTTCATTTATGTATATTGTAACTATCAATATCTATTAAGAGAAGTGTAAATTTTTTTTTAATTTAAAACTAATAAAGTTAGAATAACGAAATTCGAGGATGTGGTAGTAAACATATAAGTCCTTGACATATATTTTTTCAAAAATAAATATTGAAAATTTCCAAGGATATTTAAGGATAAAGTCTTAAAAGGACATTTTCAATACTTATTCGTACTGGTGCACCCAAAAATTAATACTTTTTTTCTATTCTACAGAATTTTTCCTTTTAATTGAAACCCAGTTAGTTATTCTACAATGCACCGAACATTTGAATAATTTTTCTAATTCAATCATATTCTAAAAATTTCAAAGTCCTTTTAAAAAAAATCATGACGTCAGAGAGAAAAACTAAAAACGCAGTTTTACTATATTTGGCACGGTGTAATATATGTATGAACTAAATAACTATATATGAAACTAGGCAATTAGTTGTATACTTCATACCTCCTAAACGTTGTTCAACAATATTAAAAGTTCCTTGAGCTAATTTTTCCATAGAAACCACAAAGTTACTTTCTGCCCCAAGAAAAATCGTTTTCCATCAGAATTCCCGTAACTTTACGCGCAATTTATATTCAAGTTACATCAAAAATCAATACTGAGCATACACACACAAATGCCGTTAGCAGTAACCTGTTAAAGGTTCAACTTCCAATTGCTGCTCGATTACGTTTTTATTTCGCTCTAACACACAAACCACCACACATTTTACGTACCTAGACACAACCTTGACTGATGCTATCCATTTGTTATTTTCCGCATCAGTATTTACTCAAACGAAACATAAAAAACGTAAAAGGTGTCGACCTTATCAATTCGATTCCATTCGCACGTAGGTGCAGATTTTTTAGTCAATTTCCTATAGCTGACATTGATCCGTCAATTTGTTTTGTACTCGTATCGGTGTAATACACATACATACATACATACATACATGGAACGTGTATTAATTTCTTAATAGAAATGTTCGAATGTTTAACAAATTCAATTTGTTAACAGATTTGTTCTTCGTATTGCATTAAGTTTTAGGGGTAGAATTTATACAAAATTTAAAAGCAGAAATATAGATTAAAAAAAAAATAAACTAGAGTAACTGCATAAGTATTTCCTGTAACTGACAACTGTAGATTGGCGAAGTAGTTGAGGCGGTACATAAGGCCGAAGAAGCCTGCCACCAGGCGCAGCCAATAGTGCTGGACGTCAAGAACGCCTTCAACTCGGCAAGATCGCACGACGTGCTGGAGGCCTTGGAACGGTCATTCAAGGTTCCGACATACTTGCTAGATATGATCTGGGACTACCTCAGAGACCGTTGGCTTTTGTACGACACAACACAAGGTCAGAGAAAGAGACGTATAACCGGCAGAACAGCACAGGGGTCTGTACTTGGCCCGGACCTCTGTAACGCCACGTATGACAGTCTGTTGCGCACGGAAATGCCGGAGAGCGCCTTCCTTGTGGCCATCGCGGACGATGCACAGTGTATTATTTCCATATTCTAGAAAAGATTAATTCCATTATTTTGTGTCGCCAAATTTGAAAACAACGTCAAGAATGTTTTTAGAAATGCCTGATAAATACGAAACAATAACAACTAAACAATTTTAATCAAAGTGTATGGCGGGACGGGGTTTGATTTGGAAAATTACCGAGCACAATAATATTTAAACTTTTATATTTGAAACTGAATCTCAATGTTTATTTTGTCGGTGTTATGTGATTTATGCAACAATTACTAAAATACCATTTTGGTCTTATTTGCTTGGGTATGTTCTTTTTAATGAATATACATTTTTGGGATTTTAGTAAACTAGGACTGAGTATTCCATGTTAAAGTAAAACGATGTTAACTTGAATTTATTTTTAGCAATTTATTAATTTCATTAGACCCGCAAACTCGTTATCCGCCACTATTCGATAAAGTTTGTATCTCAGTTTATTTGCCACTCCTCTTCGACTTTAAACAACGTAATTTTAGCTGCTGGAAAGTGCAGGTTTTGAGAAAATTTTCTTTTTTCTGGCCTACTGGGAATTTCATTTTCTTCGAGTAATTCATTTGCATTTTATCTCGACCGAAACAAATTCTTACATTTTCGTTTTGAATAGAGAAAGCCTGATTCATTACCTTTCCAATGGTATCCCATTTTTGTAAATAGAGTAAGAAATATTGAACTTATAACGGAATTTTGTTGACCCAACTTGACTTTTTTATCGATATTTTCCACGCCCATAATTAAAAAAAATATATATTTATTTTAAGTCCATTTGTGTCAGTTTATAATTTCTTGTTATAGGGAAATTCTAAAATCAATTTTGGGCATTTTAGCCTTTGTAGTTAGTTAAATATTTAAGTTTTTGCATTTTTAAAAATTTGCAGTTATATAATAGGGTGGCATGACAGTAACTATAAATTACCAATTTTTTGTAAAAAGCTTCGCCTATCTTATAACGTACCTTGGGCAAAATTTCATTAATCTATCTTCAATAGATTTCGAATTACAGAATTAAAAGCAGCTAGATGGGTCAAATCTTACACTGTGCGACGTGGCCGCCGTCATAACAGCAAAAAACGTTCAGCTAGCACAGCTCAAGCTAAACCAGGTCATGCGCAACGTCAGTGGATGGATGAGCGATCACGGTCTACAATTGGCTACAGCCAATACGGAGATCGTTCTCCTCACCAGGAAACGGATCCCAACAATTATAAATATGATGATCGGACCTCAACTCGTGACGACTTCTAGGTCTACAAAATACCTAGGGGTGAAGCTTGACAGCAAACTCACATTCTGGGAACACATCCATGGATTATGTGAAAAAGCTGTGCAGAGCACGGTGGCTCTACGCCGGCTGATGACGAACATGGGCGGCCCGAAGCCATGCCTAAGGAAGCTTCTGATCACAGCGGTCCAGTCGGTGCTCCTGTACGGGGCAGAAATATGGGCCGACGCATTGAAAGTCAAAAAATACCGGTCCAGCGCAGAGGGGCACTACGCATTGCTTCTGCATACCGTACAGTGTCCGCGGACGAGGTCCTAGTTATTTCTGGCGTCATGCCAATTGAGCTACTTGCTTACGAGCGAAAAGAAATTTACAATCTCAGTGCCGAGATAGGTCGAGCAGCTGCCGCGGCAAGTGCGCGCGAGCAACTGATCCAGCAGTGGCAATAAAACTGGAACGCGAGCCCAAAAGGTCGATGGACGCACTCCATGATAGCCGACCTTCAAACATGGTTGAACAGACCGCATGGGGAAGTCAATTTCTACCTGACGCAATTCCTCAACGGTCATGGTTACTTCCGAGAATATCTTCATAGAATGGGAAGGGTAGACTCACCATTCTGACACTATTGTGAAAACGCCGAAGATAACGTGCACCATACGTTCTT